AATCACTGACCCTGACCTTGGAGTGCAGCCCCCCCTCAACCTTCATTGGATGGAATTCTCCCCTGAATCTCTTGTTCCCTAATAAAAGGCTAGTCCCCGGCGTGCTCTCTCTCTCTCTCCTGCTAGCCCTGAGTAATCCTTGCTGCCCTGCTGGGCGGCTAGAGGAGCGAACCAGAGAGGTGAGCCGTCTCGGACCAGCAATAGAAATAAGGTAATTGAGTCTTGTGTTTTTATTTCGATCTCTTCTAACTAACTTTATGCCTAGAACCTCATTAATGAAACCACTGCGCAGGCCGTGTGGTAGAAGGGATATCTTTTAACTGTCTTAATTTTTCCTTCACTTATTGTTTACTTAAGTTTTCTTCAGCATGTTGTGACAATTTTGAAATTTTTTTCCAGAAAATAATTATAACTTTTTGATATTTAAAAATACAATACAGTGTATAAATATATACTCTATATAAGAATACACACTTTTGTATACTTATAGAGTAAAACAACCTTTTTAAATTTTTAGTTGTAGATGAACACAAAGCCTTTATTTATTTATGTGGTGCTGAGGATCAAGCCCCGTGCCTTACAAGTGCTAGGCAAGTACTCTACTCTTTTTTTTTTTTTTAGAGAGAGAGAATTTTTTAATATTTATTTTTTAGTTTTTGGCAGACACAACATCTTTATTTTATTTGTATGTGGTGCTGAGGATCAAACCCAGAGCCGCACGGATGCCAGGCGAGCACGCTACTGCTTGAGCCCATCCCCAGCCCTAAGTACTCTACTCTTGAGCTACAACCCCAGCCCCAGAACCACTTTTATTTTGTACTATGGATTGAACCCAGCAGTACTTAACCACTGAACCACATACCTAGCCCTTCTTATTTTTGAGACAGGGTCTCCTGAAGCTGCTTAGGGCCTCACTAAACTGCTGGGCTGCCTTTTTGTTGGGGGGGGGGTGGATGGGTAGGGATACCAGGGATTGAACTCAGGGGACTCAACCACTGAGCCACATTCCCAACCCCCCCCCCTTTTTTGTATTTTATTTAGAGACAGGGCTTCACTGAATTGCTCAGCACCTCCCTGTTGCTGAGGCTGGCAACTTGCGATCCTTCTGCCTCTGAGTGTTCAACAACTAAGCCACTGGGGTTATAGGCATGCACTACCACACCTGGCTGAGGCTGGCTTTGAACTTGCAATCCTCTTCCCTCAGCCTCCTAAGCTGCTGGTATTACAGGGATGTGCACATCCAGCAAAGACAATTTATAATTTAAAAAATCCATCACTGTCATTTCCCCATTCATATACCTTTAATTTTGTTATCTTTCTTATTTGCCTTTTTTTTTTTTTTTTGGTGCAAACTACCAAGTTCTTGATGTATTGATGCCATTTTAAAAGAAAATGCCATTGGCTAAAGTCTATATTTTTATTTTTTATACCAATGCTGACAATAGACAAGTACAAACCACATAATTTAAAATTTTCCAATAGTCACATTAAAAAGCAACAAGTAATGAAATTAATTTGAATGTATTTTAAAATTCATTATACTATATCATTAAAATGTATCCTGTATTGAGCCATATATCTAATATATTATCATTTCAATAAGAAAAACTGTTTTTTTAGAACTTAATCTTCACCATCTTGTTTGTATTTTACATTTAACACCATTTTAATTTGGACTGGTCACATTTCAAGTGTTCAACACTCAATTTCAAGTGATCCCACATGTTGCTAGTGACTACAATATTAGTGTAGGTCAAATTCACATTTGCACATTTAGTTATAGTCACTTCTTTTCTTCACTTATTTTTTGTACATATGAAATGCCTACTGTGTGATAGGTACTGTAATAGATACAGAGACAGGATGTGAATAAGCAAAATTTGAAACCTTTGTCACAACTTTCTCAATACATTATAGTGTATTTAATATGCCAGTGTGTAGACCTTTGGCAACATCCAAAAATTTTAATATTAGGCATTTAAAAATTATCCTTTTCAAACTGGCTATAATTTCATCATTAATTTTCTTTAGAAGAACATTTTAGAAATTTTCAAATACATAAGAACTCAGAATTACAAAAACAAAACAAATAGAAACCATGCACCCAACATCTAGTTGGCTATCTTTTTACCAAACTTACATTATCCCCTTAACTTTGCTTCCTTTTTTTTTTTTTTTAATTTGGTATGGGGGATTGAACCCACGGGCACTTAACCACTGAGCCACATCCCCAACCCTTTTTATTTTGAGACAGGGTCTCACTAAGTTGCTGAGGCTAGCCTTGTGATCCTTCTGCCTCAGCCTCTCGAGCTGCTGGCATTACAAGCGTGTCCTCCCATGCCTGGCCCTCACTTCTTTTGAATGAACATTTAAAGAACATTCAAGGTATCACAACATCTTGTATATATAAATTTCAGAATTTATCCCTAATGAACAGACTTTTTTTATATAACCAAAACACTATTCTCCACACCCAATAAAAACATGGTTTCTTAATTTACTACTAGAAACATTCTTATTTTCTCAGTTGCTGTGAAAATGTCATGACCTGAAAAAGAACCATCCATTCATTGCATTTGATTGATATGTCTCTAAAGTTTTTTCAATATCTTAGGAGTTCTAGCTCCTTTTTTCAATGTTCTTTTATTGGTCGAGAAGCCGGGTCACTCCTCTTGAAGAACACCCACATTTACATTTGCTTTTTGTTGTGTCATGGAATTTGTTCTTCCATTCCCTACTTTTTCTAAACTTGGAGTTGGATCTTCAGGCTTAAATTCACGTTCAACATTTTTGGTGAGATGTTTGTATTTCATTGCATCACATTAGGAGGCACAGAACATTTTCTTGTGCTGCTTCTAATCAGTGGATTCAGATGTTGACAGCCTGATCCATCACCATAACATTCAAGTCAACCTTTCACTTACTGGCTTTGACCTCTATGAAGAATTAGTTCTACATCATCAACTACTTCGTCACCTTCTGGTTTTCCTGAAATACAGTTTACATAGGAAATACAGGCTAAATGACTTTTCTTTCTTTTTATTTATCTATTTTCAGAATGAGATGGTGCCCTGTCAACTTTCATAGGTACACTACACAGATAGAAGAATAGGGATGATAAAAGGTAAGGACAAAAGCTTTTTCACCCTTCTTTAACAAAGTTCCTTTCTAGAGTGAATTTCCTATAGTTTTACATGGCTTGAATGTGAAAAAAGGCTTCTACATAGTCATTAAATTAACATGTTTTCTTTAAATACAAACTTTATACTAAGTTGTGAGCATGAAGCAAAAAGGATTCCTACATTCAAAAATTTTCCTCTAGAATTTATTTTTTAATGCTCTTTAATACTACGTTCACATTTGAAGGATTCTTATAATTACTAAGTTACATTATGAATTCGCTGATGGTAAGTGAGGTGTGAATGTTGTCTGAAGGCYTTCTTACATTCTGAACATTTGTAGGGTTTCTCACCAGAATGAATTCTCTGATGTTGAATAAGTGATGAATGAAGTCTAAAGGCCTTTCCACATTCCTTACAGTCATAGGGTTTCTCACCAGTGTGAATGCTCTGATGTTGAGTAAGCTGTGAGAGCAGTCGGAAAGTCTTCTCACATTCCTTACATTTATAGGGTTTCTCACCAAAATGAATGCTCTGGTGTTGAGTAAGTTGTGAGAACAGCCTAAAGGCCTTCCCACATTCCTTACAGTCATAAGGTTTCTCTCCAATATGAATACCTTGATGTGAAATAAGTTCTGAGTAACGACGAAAGAACTTCTGACATTCCTTGCATTCGTAAGGTTTCTCACCTGTATGAATTCTCTGATGGAGAGTCAGGTGATAGCCGCGACTAAAGGWCTTCCCACACTCTTTACAATCATAGGGCTTCTCACCTGTGTGAATCCTCTGATGTAGTGTAAGTTGTTGGCGTACCCTAAAGGCCTTTCCGCACTCCTTGCAATCATAGGGTTTTTCACCTGTATGGAGTTTGTGGTGGATTCGAAGGCCGGTACTGCACAGAAAAGCCTGACCGCATTCCTTACACTCATAGCACTTCTCACCAATGTTAAGTCTCTGGTGTCGAGTAAGGTGTGCATACTGTCTGAAGGTCTTCCCACATTCCTTACACTCATAGGGTTTCTCACCAGTGTGAATGCGCTGATGGAGAGTAAGCTGTCCCCGCACTCTGAAGGCTTTCCCACATTCCTTACATTCATAGGGTTTCTCACCAATATGAATTCTCTGATGTACTCGAAGGTCTGAGCTACATGTAAAGATCTTCCCACACTTTTTACATTCATAGAGTTTGTCAGATGTATGAATTCTCTGATGTCTACTCAGGTGGGCACATTGTCTAAAGGCCTTTCCACATTCTTTGCATTCATAGGGTTTCTCACCGGTATGGATTCTCTGATGGAAAGTAAGTTGTTGGCGTACTCTAAAAGCCTTCCCACATTCCCCACATTCATAGGGCTTTTCTCTATTATGACTTTTCTGATATAGAGCAAGAGATGTGAGTTTTCTGTAAGTGGGTATTTTTTCAGGGGTGTTTTTTGTCACTTGCCTGAAATTGACTTTGTGAGGACCCTCTTGTTCCTCAAACTTTTTATATTCGCCATCTTTTCCAAAAATAGAATAATCAAGGCCACGACTTTTAATTCTTTCCATTATTTCCCACTGAGATAAATTTATTTCATAAATATCCTTTTCTTGAAATAACTTTTTAGTGTCATATTTGGATTCCAAATCTGAAAGGAAATAAGATAAACACAATATTTTTCTATCCTTGATGAAATAAATAAGCAAATAAAAATTTTACCATAGAAAACAAAAACACCACAGAAAATAAATCTCACTTGAAGCAAATGGGCTAAATAAACCTAAAATAATCATATAATTGGAAAAAAACCCAAAAAAGCAAAAAGGAATAGAGAAATGGTGAGTTAAGACTTGATTATTTGGATGAAGACTAAAGTTTGAGAATCCCTACTTTAATTTTTAAAAATATTTTTTAGATCTGTGGACCTTATTTTATTCATTTATTTATATGTGGTGCTGAGAATCGAACCCAGTGCCTCACACATGCTAGGCAAGCGCTCTACCACTGAGCCACTGCCTCAGCCCCCCTACTTTAATTTTTAATTTTAATCCCTACTTATTTTTTTATCTTCTTAAAGATAAAAAAAATAAGTAGTTTTTATCTTCTTGAAAATAAAAAAGAAAGTATAAAAAAAGAAGTATAAACACTTCCCCGTGAATAGCTGGGCTTCAGCTCACCATCATGCATCAGCTTCACCCCGTGTCCCCTTACTGTCACACTTGCCTCCTTCTCAGTTCCTAGAACATGTGACAATCTTCATTTCTTACAGCTTTTCATCAGCTGTTGAATCTCCTGGGAATCCCAACTTGGATTTACAGGGCCGGATTCCTTTCACTAGTCATGTATCATCTGAAAATTCAGAAAACTATCCCCACTGACTTCTATTTTATGTTCTTTATTTTCTATTCTAGTTACTGGCTTAATATTTTCTCAATTTTTTTTTTACTCATGTATATCCCTGCTGATTATTCTTGTTATTTTCTTACAGAAACAAATATTCACTCACCACTGATTAACAGACCAATAGTACATAGTAACTACTAATTATTAAATTCCCATAAATAATTAACAATAAATATGCAGCCCAATCTCCAAACCTATGCCTTGATTAAACACACTTTTTCCTTTGAATACTAAGGATTGAGCCCAGGGCAGTGCACATGCTAAGAAAGTGCACTAGCATTAAGCTCCACCCCCAGTCCTTCTAATTTTTATTTTTGGAGACAGAGTCTTGTTAAGCTGCCTGAACTGGCCTCAGATTTGGCAATCTTCCTGCCTCAACCTCCTAAGTATGTGAGATTATAGGAGYGTGCCACTGTACCTAGCTTATTTAAGTATTCTTTTATTATTTCCACCTGACAACCCTTTTGACAACCTCTCTACTTATACTTGCAGATATCTCCATTGCAGCTGAAGTCCTACTTGGCATGGTGAGGAGAGAACTTGTCTCCTTTTATAACCAGGTAATGAGAAGTTCTACTTATTTATCTTCATTTGAGTTATTTAATGATGCACATCTATGTTTTAAATACTCAACCTGTATACTCCATACCCTTCTCCATACTGTCCCTGAAGTCCTCATAGCCAAATCCATTGGGAGTACTTCTTAGTGTATCTTAATGATTTTTCATGCTTAACAATAGGTTTATTCCATAGTAAAAGGTGAATAAATTCTGAGCAAAAAGATGTGTATTTTCTTAGCAATTTTGTGATAAAAATTTAATGCTTTCTAAAAAGAAAGCATTAAAATATATATATATAAAATAAACCAATATTATCTGTAAAATGCCCAAACTGGAAAGAATCTCAGTGTTCATCAACAGATGAATGGCTAAGAAATGATGGCACATCACCACAGCACCAGAGTGTACAGCAGAAATGAAGAACACTCTACAATCATGCAACAGTGAGGACAAATCCAGACACCCTGGTGAGTAAACAAAGTCAGGCATAATACAAAATATACTTTATGATTTCATTTTTATAAAGTAAAAAGTAAGCAAACTAATCTATGGTGTTGTTAAAGTCCAAAGAGTAGTTAACTGTAGAGTGTAGGAATGACTGCAAGGAGTGGGGGGAGGCTGTAGGATTCCAGGAAAGTTCTATTTCTGAGTCTGTTGACAAGATGAAATTCAATGAACTGTTCACTAATGATCTGTGTATTTTTCTTACGTATGTTTATATTTTTAAAAATTCACTTTTGGCCCGGAACAGTAGCACACACCTGTAATCCCAGTGGCTCGGGAGGCTGAGGCAGGAGGACCGAAAGTTCAAAGCCAGCCCCAGTAACTTTGCAAGGCACTAAGCAACTCAGGGAGAACCTGTCTCTAAATAAAATACAAAATAGGGCTGGGGATGTGGCTCAGTGGTTGAGTGCTCCTGAGTTCAATCCCTGGTACCAAAAAAAAAAAAAAAATTCACTTTTGGTCTGGGGTTGTAGCTCAGTCATAGAGCGCTTGCCTGGCACATGTAAAGCACTGGGTTCAATCCTCAGAACCACATAAAAATAAATAAAATAAAGGTATTGTGTACAACTACAACTAAAAATTAAATATTTTTTTAAAAAGTATATACAGTAGCTAGAAAGAAAAAGAAATAAAGGTTGGGGTGGATCTCCTAAAAACCAAAGAGAGATCAATAAAGGAGAGAGATCAAGGGGTGGGAGGTAGGRAGAGAGGCAGTGATATTGGCCAAATGATATTGTTATATTGTGTGTGTGTGTGTGTGTGTTACAAATATGTAACAACAGATCCTATCAATATGTACAAATATAATGCACCAATAAAAAAAATGTGGGGAAAAAAGGGCTAGGGATATAGCTCTGTGATAGCATGCATGAGGTTCTGGGTTCAAGCCCTAGTACAGAAAAAAAGAAAAAGGACATACTAAAAAGACTAAAAGGGCTATAAAAATTTCAGTAGTATGGGTAAAATGTGAGTGAAGAAAGGTAAATGAACGGTGCACAAAATACTATTAAGAAAACTATACGTCTGTTTCTCTATTTCCCTACTTAAGAAAACAAAACAAAAAAAATGCAACTTTGTAGAATTTTGCGGAGAAAGTCAATTTAGGGTCTCAATAAGACAAGACATAAATGATAGATGACCATGACTGGCTATATAATAGTAGTAAATGAGTAGGCAGTTAACAAGGCATGAAAAAGGGAAAAGGGGAAGGGAGGAGAAAAGGGTAAGAGGAGACACTAGGGGCTAAAATGGAGTAGATTAAATTGCATGCATGTATGATCATGTCAAAATGAACCCAGCTATCATGCACCAGTAAAAGCAAAAAGGTATGATAAACCTAAGATGCTAATTGTGGGACTTACTTGCAAGTTAAATGAGCAATATAAAAAGGAAAGTCATAATCCAAATCAAAATAAAGTGCTAAACCATTCRTAAGAAAAGCAAGCAAATGTTAATGTTTGCGGGGACCCATGGGTAAACTGAGTGATGCTTAAGCCATTAGGAAAGGAAACTCAGTTGTAAAAACTCCCAGGCAGAACCCCCTGGTTTGAGAATACCTACTTCAGGTTGGCACCCTGTTTTAGCTTACCACTCAAGTTCTAGCTCAGCTTGGGAGATGGAATGACCTTGTGGAGGCCCACAATCCCCCAGAGATGGGTGTGGCTTGCCAAAATGCCAATCAACCTGTTTACTACAAGACCCCTGCCATACTAAGAAGCAAGCACCAAACTAAACTAAGACTCCTCCCGCAGAACCTTACCCCTGAATTTGATGTACTCCCCCTTAAATAAAGAATTGGGGCCTTTTTTTCAGTTGTTCTAGCTCTTAATAGGACTGGAAGACTCATCAGGCGCTTCTCTTTAAATCTAATTTTTGCTTCTATCTTTATGTTTTACTGATTGTATTTCAGACTTTTTATTTCCCAGGCACCTCACACTTCCTGAGCAGGAACCTACTGTGTCTGGGTACAGGCCACCCTAGTATAAATGTTCACATCACAAAAGCCCCTACAAATTGACATAAGAAACATTAAAGAATGAAAAAGAATAAATAAAGTGAAGAGACAATGCACAAAATAAATATAAGCATAAACAAATTTGGTAACATTCTATCATTCCTTTTTCATTTAGTCACTGAATAATTTTATTAAGAGGATAAATGCTTCTTTTCCTCCTTTGAGTTTCTGTTTTTAAAATAAGTTAACAACACTTGAGTATATTCCAATGGTCAATAATTTGCTATTAATATTCATTAGGAGTTTATGGAGGGGGTTGGAGATCAGCTCAGTGCTTGCGTAGTATGCTTGAGGCCCTGGTTTAGATCCCCAGCACCACAGACACACACAAAATTATGGAACTGAGTATATTCTATCATTATTGTTATTAAGAGTGTTAATGCTCAAATGATCCCATCTTTAGTCAATTGAAGCTTCCTCAAATTGATTCCTGTTCCCTGAACACTCTACCTAAAAATCACTCATTCTAATTTTCCATATCATTACCTTATTCACTTATCTTTATAGTACTTAATCATTGCAGGATATTTAGTAAACCTCTTATTTGTTGTCCTGTTTTGCAGTGCTGGCCATCAAACTCAGGGCCTCCCATATGATAGGCAAGTACTCTACACCCCCAGTGTTTACTTGTTGTTTGTAGACTACCCCACTACAGTGTAAACTAAATAATAGAGTAATGAATATAAAATATAAAAGTTAAAATACAAAAGGTGAGCTAGAAGAAGTCAGATCCAAAATATAGGTAAAATGGTTATTATTAGGGAAGAAAGTTTTCCCCTACTGTGAGAGAGAAGAAACAAGGGGTAAGTTGAGTGGGGATGAAGTTTCTTTGATGACACACTGAGAAGATCTAAGTTTCCTTCCCAAGTTTTTGGTCTCTTCTTCACAGTCAAGATCTATGGGGTATGTTTTCTTCTAATAAATCTTCCCAGCAGGTCTGTGCCATGCTGTCTATAACACCCAAATAGCACTCACTCACCTAGGCTCCATCTTCTTTTCTCATCCCTCACAATCATCCAGGGATCCTTCCCTTGTTCCAACAGGGTAATCACGTCTGGCTTAGAAATGGAACATCCTGCTTGACAGAAGAGAATAGAACATATTACAGAAAGAATTTATTTGATCAAGCTTTCAGAACAAAAAAGGTTATCAGGATTAAAAACATTCAAATTAGAATTACTTCAGGATCACAAAGAAAAACAAGAACTGAGAGGTAGGGACATGGTCTTATTCTAATTTAAACTCATCTAGGCTGTCTTTTGAGAGAAAATTATAGTTGAGAACACTGGTTTCAAATCCTGCCTCTGACAGGTGGGTCACCAAAGCAAATAATGATCTCTCTGTGCCTCAATTTGCTCAGTTGTAAAAAGGAGACAATGGTATTGTGTATACATGGGATTGTTGTGAGGTTTGACTTAGTGTCTGTTAAGATAACTCCCTAGTATATCACAACCATATGCTTATTAGGTATTTTTTATATTATTTTGCTGAGAGAAAAATAACAAGCTTTTTTCCAGAATATTTACCTAATATTAAATGCAAAGTTCATTTATTTTAGAAGTTGTAAAATAATATGTCAGCTGGTCATGGTGGTGCACATCTGTAATCCCAAKAACTTGGAAGGCTGAGGCAAGAGGATCACACGTTCGAGGCCAGCCTCAGCAACTTAGCAAGAGTCTGTCTTAAAATAAAAAATAAAAAGGAGGTTTGGGGATGTAGCTCAGTGATAGAGTGCTTCTAGTTTCATCCCCACTACTGCAAAAAAAATTAATATGTCTATTTCAGGAAACTGAATATGTCCAATCGAGGTTTTTTTTTGTTTTTTTTTTTTTTGGTACTGGGGATTGAACCCAGGCGCACTTAACTACTGAGCCACCTTCCAAGCCCTATTTTATTTTGAAACAGGGTCTTAATAAGTTGCTGAGGCTAGTTTTGAACTCTTGATCCTCCTGTCTCAGCCTCCTGAGCCACTGGGATTACAGGTGTGTGCCACAATGCCTGGCAACCACTTGGGTTTTGACAAACTGTTGATTCAACTCATCACCATGTACATGTAAAGACTTTTTAATAGTTAGGCAGAGGCAGAATCTCTATCTTCCTATTCTCATTACAGGTGAGTCCACAAATAACATGGACTAGTAGTATAGAATTTTATTTCTTTGACAATACTTTTGTTGTGTTTAAGAATTTATATCCAGATGCCATTAAAGAGCAGTAATAACAGTTGGGCATAGTAATACACGCCTGTAATCCTAGCAGCCCCAGAGGCTGAGGCAGGATTGAAAATTCAAAGCCAGCCTCAGCCACTTAGTGAGGCCCTAAGCCACTTAGTGAGACCTTGTCTCAAAATAAAAAATAAAAAAAGGGCTGGGGATGTGGCTCAGTGATAAAGCACCCCTGGATCCAAACCCCAGTACAAAAAAAAAAAGCAGTAGTAATAGACAAAGGAAGATGTAAGGGTCACTGAATTTTGGGAGAAGATAAAAGTGCTTCTTTTTATCAAAGAGATATTCAGCCAGTTTTTACAAAGAGAGCCTGAAAATTCAGTCTTGTTAATTTCTAAATTATTTGACCCAGATAAGCTTACCAAGTGACAACAAGTTGCTGTAATTCTCCAAAATCACATCTCTGTATAAATTCCTCTGATAGGAGTTCAGGCATTCCCACTCCTCCTGAGAAAAGTCTACAGTCACATCTCTGAACATCACCAAATCCTGAAATGACAAACCCATGTATTGTTGGTAAGATAAAAGAATGTTTTCAAGGGGCTGGGGTTGTGGCTCAGCAGTAGAGCGCTCCCCTAGCACGTGCGAGGCCCTGGGCTTGATCCTCAGCACTGCATAAAAATAAAATAAAGGTACTGTGTCCAACTACAACTAAAACAAAATGTTTTCAAGGTGGTGGAAGGGTCTTGAGTATATGTTCATTTTATATGTTAAGTGAATAGGCTGGAGCTGGATGMCCATGATGTGGGTAAGTGGGAATAAGGAAATAAATCTGACGGAAACAGAATAGCTACATATTCTTGAAGATTTCTTCCTCTCCCTCTTTCTGGTACCAGGATCGAACTCAGGGCTTTGCATATGCTAAGTAAGTACTCTACCAGTGAGCTATATTCCCAGGCCTCTTGAAGATTTCTTAATGTGTATGAGGGGTTGGCAGACATTTTCCATAAGAGGTCAATATTGTAGGCTCTGCATACCACATCCACGTTGCATATTCTTTTTTAAAAACCAGTTCTTTCAAAATACCATCTGCTTGCAAGCTGTATAAATACAGTTCTCAGGCCAAATTTGATTACAACTTCAAATGTAGTTTGCCCACAATTGCTACAGCTAAAACTTCCATATAAAATGGAATACCTAATTAATTTCCCACATGTTCAGGTAATTATCAGAATTTCCCTATTAACTGAAATAGGTTCATAAGAACCTATTATCTTTTCCTTTAAGAATCAGAAAAAAATAATTGATGAAAAATTTCCCCTAGGGGCTGGGGATGTGGCTCAAGTGGTAACGCGCTCRCCTGGCATGCGTGCGGCCCAGGTTTGTCCTCAGCACCACATACAAACAAAGATGTTGTGTCTGCAGAAAACTAAAAAAAAAAAAAAAAAGAAAAAGAAAAATTTCCCCTAAATGAACTATAAAATCTCTATTTTAAAAAAAAGTAGTGTTTACATGAACTTAAAGAATTTCTTCCAGGAGCTGGGGTTGTGGCTCAGTGGTAGAGTACTTGCCTAGCGTGTGTGAGGCACTACGTTCAATGCTCAGCACTGCATAAAAATAAATAAAATAAAGGTGTTGTGTTCATCTAAAACTGAAAATAAAATAAAGGTATTGTGTTCAACTACAACTAAAACAAAATACTAAAAAAAAAAAAAAAAAAAGAATTTCTTTCAGACCAAACTTTATTGTTAAATTGTATCATTTGCATTTTTTCTTATTACAACAAATCATTTATTGAACTTAAAATTTAGCATACAGTAGTCAATTTTTTGATGTTAGGCTTAATAATAGTTGTATTTAGATATTTCTATACTTTTAAATATATTAAATGATATTTTGAATTTACATTATACAAAATTCTAAAGTTGCAATATCAAACATCCTAGCTTAGAAATGTGGTTGCTGAGCAATTAAATTATGAGTACTCCAAATTCAGGTGTGCTGTATATGCAAAATACATACCACATAGTAATGACTTTAGAAAGAAAAAAAAGAATGTAAAATATCTCAATTTTTATATTAATTATACTTTGAAATGATAATATTTTGGCTATCCTGGGTAAATAAAACATTAAAATTAACTGCACCTGTTTTTTAATATAAATACTAAGATATTTAAATTATATACCTGCCTTGTATATCATTCTATATGTTTAGAATGTGACTACTAGAAAATTTCAACTTATGGTCTGGGGTTATGGCTCAGTGGTAGAGTGCTCACCTAGCATGTGTGAAGCCCTGGGTTCGGTCCTCAGCACCACATAAAAATAAATTAATAAAATAAAAGTACTGTGTCCAACTACAACTAAAAAATAAATATTTTTTAAAAGATTTTTAAAAAAGAGAAAATTTAAACTTACATATATAGCTCACATTATAATTCTTTTGGGCAGTGTTCTTAGGATCAGTGTTCTCTGACCCTAAAAGCCTCAGATCAAATACCACCCCCCAACCCAGGGAATTCATTTCTGCTTCACCTGCTCTAGACAGAGACCAAGTACAAAGGAGATGCTGAATGATTTGGTCAATGCACAGGTGGACAAGGTGGAAAAGAGAGGAGTAAACAGGAGGTACCTGAGATGTTGGGCTCCATCCCTCACTAGGGAGCAGTTATTGGATGGGGCTCTTTAAGAAGTTTCAGAATAACAATAAAAATGTTCACATACCCTGGAAAAATAAAGATGGAATTTCAAATAGAAAAACCAACTTACATGAGCCATGATTTTAGAATTGCAAGAAATGGTCAGTTTTCCTCAAGGTTCATTTATTGAAGAAGCAGAGTCCACAGAGGCCGGAGCTATAGGAACAATGTAAGGTCATAAGAACAGTTTCCAAAATTTAAAAATCATATATACCATTTTCCCATCCCTACATGCAACTGTGGCTCCCAACACACAGACAGGTCATGAAAGTAAGAGGTAATTAAGAACTCTTCCCAAAACTATAGGGAAATATGCTGTACAAGGAATAGACACAGAGCAGACTCTTCTGAATCAAAGCACATGCTCAGACACTTCAACAGGAGGGCTACCAGGTGGTCTCTATGCCACACCCAGGGATGAGGACCTGACAATGCACTGCACAGAGTCTTGAGCAGATCCTCCTCCCTCCATTCCCGCTTTCTTGGTTAAATGCAGTCTACACTTTCTAATCCAGAACTTCCTTCTTGGATTTAGAAATCTGTTTGACCTCCACAAACCTAGAGATAGAAAATAACATAGACAAAAATTTCCCAAGCATTTCTGTAAATTGGATAACCTGGAGATCTTTAAAATATACTGACTCCCATCTGAAACATTCTGATTAAATCARTATAGTACATGACCTGGAAATCAGGATTTTAAAATACCTCCACAGGTTTTTATAAAATCCCCTTTGAAGGTTATAATGGGCAGCAAAATTTGGCAACCAAACTTAAGTGCATATCAGAATCAACTAGAGGACTTGTTAAAGAGACTGCTGAGTATGGAGATTCCTCAGAAAACTAGGAATGCAACCAACATTTGACCTGGTTATACCACTCCTTGGTATATATCCAAAGGACTTAAAATCAGCATACTACAGTGTTGTAGCCACATTAATGTTTATAGTAGCTCAACTCACAATAGCTAAGCAATGGAACCACCCTAGTACCCTTCAATAGATTAATGGATGAAGAAAATGTGGTTATATCTACACAATGGAATATTACTTAGCCATAAAAAGAATGACTTTATGACCTTTGCTAATAAATAGAAGGATCTGAAGACTATCCACTAAGTGAAATAAGCCAATTCCAAAAAAAGCAAAGGTCAAATGTTCTCTCTTATTTGTGGATGCTAACACTTAGGTGGGGGGAGAATAGAAGTTCAATGGATTAGACAAAGGGGAATGAAGTATTAGACAAAGGGAGACAGGAATAAGAAAAACAATGGAATAAACTAGACATAATTTTCATATGTGAATACATGACCAGGGAAATTCCACATCAAGTTCAACCTCAAGAATGGGATCCTAATTAGAGTAAGTTACACTCCATGTACGTATACTATGTTCAAAATACACTCTATTGTCATATATATCTAAATTGAACAAATTAAAAAAAAAAAAAGACTGTTGAACTTTACTCCCAGAGTTTGGTATTCAGGAGATTTGGGATTGCCCTTCTGAATATGCATTTCTAAAAAGTTTTCAGGTGATGCTGATGCTGCTGGTCCAGAGGCCACATTTCAAGAACCACCTGTGCAGACCATGTGGAGAGCCTTTATCACGACAAAACTGCAGCTGTCCACTGGTCCCTTTCCCTAGGCTTAACTAACCCAGAATCCTCAGAGTTCACTGCTCACTATTTTCCTATTGGGGATCATCAATAATGCCTGCATGATCTCAATTATTATCCAGTTTTCCTTGGTACCCAGACAGGATACAAGTAAATCTGTGAACACTGAGCATGAATTATTTTTTAGGAAGTAAAAAATAACTCATCTATATATTAGTTAAAACCTACTAATAAGTAAGGAGACACATATTAAATGAAATGATTTAACAAATCTGAAAAATAGATGGTACTTCTTGGTCTGACACAAAGAATGAAATGGTGTACAGAGAGAAATTGTTTATAATGAGACCAAAAAGCTAAATGTTTTTCAAGAATGTTAAATTATTATGTATTCTCTCAATGGAAATGAAATACCCATTAATAATGAAGGTAATTTTTTTTTTTTTTGTACTGGGGATTGAACTCAAGGGCACTCAACTACTGAGCTACATCCCCAGTCCTATTTTGTGTTTTATTTAGAGACAGGGTCTCACTGAGTTGCTTAGCACCTCACCATTGCTGAGTTTGGCGTTGAACTCTGCCTCAGCCTCCCAAGCTGCTGAGATTACAGGTGTGAGCCACCACACCTGGCAAATTCTTTCTTAATGTCACAGGAAAAATGATCACTACCTACTTCTCAGGGAAAATGGCAGGTTTGAAAATAGTATTGTAGGGCTGGGGATGTGGCTCAAGCGGTGGTGCACTCGCCTGGCATGCGTGCAGCCCGGGTTAGATCCACAGCACCACATACAAACAAAGATATTGTGTCCCCTGAAAACTAAAAAAAAATAAATGAATATTGAAAATTCTCTCTCTCTCTCTCTCTCTCTCTCTCTCTCTCTTAAAAAAAAAAGAAAATAGTATTGTAGTGTGACTGTATTTTGGCAAGACTCCATACACTTGCATGCATGTCTATGAGTGTGCATAAAATAACCTAGGAACTGTAATAAAATTTCATTGTATTTTATAAAATTTCTACCACTATGAGATGGGTTCCCAGGTAATCTTTTTTTTAATATAACTTTATTTTTATTTTTTTATGTGGTGCTGAGGATCAAACCCAGTGCCCCACCCACACTAGGCAAGGGCTCTACCATTGAGCCACAACTCCAGCCCCCAGGTAATCTTTACTTTGTTCTTTGCTGGAGTTTCTGAATTTTTTAATTAAAAACTTACAAGTCTGGGTCACTTAAGCCTGGGCATAATTCAAAATAGCTGTAAAAGAAATATTATAAAAAGTTCTATTCCTGATGTCCTTCCTGACCCTCATCTTCCAAATGTAAAGATAACCATCTTTACCTCTTTTAGTTTGCTTCTTTTGGTATTTAAAATCTGTACATCTTTCTTTTCATGGAGATGTTATGGGGGACAGGACTGAAGGCTTTGCACATGCTAAGCAAGCACTCTACTACTGAGCTATATCCCCATTTAAATAACATACTAATAATGSTTATTCTGAATTTTTGGCTTTAATCATTACTTATTCACTTCCTATTGTGAAAGGTATAGTTTAAACTATCTTTTATCACCTACGTCAACCCCACATATGCCCAGCTGAAGTCCCCTTATCCTTCCAATACGGTTTTAATTCCTTTTCAGGGTAAATGAATATTTAGTTTATTTTATTGTGGTTATGTCACCATTATAGACTGAGTTATACTCAGACAATTCTGCCATCCTTACACAGTCTTTTCCTTCTCTAAATCAAAATAATTTTTTTGTTTTGTTTTTGTTTTTTGGGTACTGGAGATTGGACTCAGGGGCACTCAACCACTGAGCCACATCCCAAGCCCTATTTTTTTTTTTTTTTTTGGTATTTTATTTAGAGACAGGGTTTCACTGAGTTGCTTAGCATCTTGCTTTTGCTGAAGCTGGTTTTAACTCATGATCCTCCTGTCTCAGCCTCCTGAGCAGCTGGATTACAGGCATGCGCTACTGTACCTGGCTAATTTTGTTTTTGTAAGCTTGGAAAATAATTGTTAACTTCCCAAATGCTTGATAAAGACAATGACTCACCATCACCATTTAATGGGAAGAGATATTATTAATTTGAGATTAAGTGACAGATATGAGTTATACAGATATTAATTCATGTAATCTTAAACACTGTCCTTTCAAGGATGGAGTTGTGGCTTAGTGGTACAGCATTTGCCTCACATGTGTGAGGCACTGGGTTCGATTCTTAGCACCACATATAAATAAAAAAAAAAAAACTAAAAAATACYTTTAAAAAAACTGCCCTTTGAAGTATATACTATTACAATTTTGACTTTACACATGAAGAAACTGGCATGAAACAACCCAAAGTCACTCAAATTTGGGTCACAGTCAGGATTCAAATGCTCCCCCGACCCCTCATCTTTAGAATTATTTAAATATAAATGTACAACAGGTTCTTAACTCTACACACACATTTAAATTTTTTTTAAAGAAAAATGTTATGTCTTATCACATCAAGATTCTGGCTAATAGCTTTCCAAAACTCCGAGAAAAATCTTACAAAAAACAGTTTTATATGTCTCATCTGGAATTTACAAATTCAACATTATCAAAGAAGGCATTCAAATCCTCTTAATCTGGGTGCAACATTCTTAGCCACTATCATTCAATACCTTTCTGGGTCCATCCACAGATACACCAAACCTCAAACCACACCTGTCTAGTGCTGAAATTTCATTTATTTTCTTTTTCTTTTTAAAAATAATTTCCTTAGTTGTAGATGGACAATACCCTTATTTTATTTATTTTTATGTGGTACTGAGGATAGAACCCAGTGCCTCACAGGTGCCAGGTGAGCGCTCTAGCACTGAGCCACAAACCCCAGCCCTGATACTGAAATTTCATTCATGAATTTCCTGGATTAAAAAAAAAAAAAGTCTCAAAACCTAAAAAAAAAAAAAAAACAACCAAACAAACAAACAACAAAAAAAAATACTCTACTCTTACTCCGGAATCACTAAGATATATAAACCCTACATACTACTTAACAAATCACAGCCCAAAACAAAGCATGAACATTAACCTTCACGCAGGCGTATTTCCTGATCTTCATAATCCTTCGAAAATCAGTGCTCAAAAAGTAATCTCTTAATTAGGTCCCTTGCGATTGACTATGTAGGGAAATCCTAAGGCAATGAACAGATCACTCTTAAGTCCTTTCAAGGAAAGGTAATCAAATAATCCTGTGTTCTGAAAATGAAATGCATTTCATGGAAACAAAGAAGCCACACAAAAACATATGAAATCTGGCTCTTCGAGGAGCAACAGCGATGCGCTTCACCTTTCCAAGGCTCTTTTCTGGAGACTGGCAGGACAAGGGAAGCAGAGAGGGTTCCTGACACTCAGGGTTTTTCTGGACTCTCAGAGCCCACCCTCCATGCTCCAATGGCTCTGGATAACCCCCACCTGCATGCATGCATGAATACAAACGAGGAGATGGGAGAAGGCTCGCAGTCACCCCTATCTGGGTTCACATCTGTAAATAAGATGTAGCTGTACACCTGAGCCATCTCCCACCGCGGTGGGCCGCCACGATATTCTGTTCAGAACTGTCGAGCGGGTCCTCCTAGTCCCCAGAGGCCTGACCGGAATTTAGTTCCCGGGGTTTTGCTGGGGACTTCCACTGTGGCCCTCCAGCTCTGACCAGAGACCCTCTAGGGCCTTCTTTACCGCCAGGCCTAGGTGGTGCGCGGGGTCTCTGGTTCTCATATTGCAGAATAGGCCGCACCCACAAAACGGGACGGGCCACCGCTACTGCCACTCAGGCCCCAGGGGCTCAGGATCCGCAGAGCCTGGCCGGTCCCGCGCTCCTTTCCCCCAGAAACACGGCTGCCACACCCGATCCTGGCTCACCGCGCTCAGTCCTCACCGGACCCGACAGCTGCCCAGCCCCGAATTCCGCGACGCGGGGATGTGGGAGCGTTCGGTCCTCAGTGCGCAGGCGCGGGGACGGGGGCGCGTCCCGGGCTCCTCTGGGCTGGAAGACGATGGGGCTGAGCAGGGAAGCAGCGCCCGGAGGAGCCGGCGTCCTGTGATGGCCCTGTGAATGGCCCGTGCTACTGCTAATAATCCAGGCCTGCTCCCTTGTGGGTGCTCTAGCTCCAAACCAGAAGGCCGTATGCTCTGGCTCTTTCACTCGGTCCAAGGCTTCGCGCTGCTTCTAAACGACGGGTCCCGGAGGATCCTGGACTTTCGTTTCTTTTCGGACTGCGCAGGCGCGCGGGGAAACCGGCGCAAATCCGCCCCCGCTGGGGCGCGAGGGAGGGTAGGGGGGCTCCCCTTGCTCAATGGGRGACAGAAGGTTGGCGTCAGGAGGCCAGAGTGAGCAGCAGTGGCCAAATACTTAGGACCCTAGCTGTGGTCGGGACCAGCAAACCCCGGTAGCCGCGAGCGTGGTCCAGCGCGAGACGCTCGGCCTGTGGCGTTTGCTGAGTGACCGCCGGGGTCCTCGTGTGCCAGGCCCAGCAGGGGACCGCGGGGTTGTGTCTCCGTGCTAGGGGCTGTTTCTCAGCGCGTGCTATTCTTTGGGTGGGGGACTGGGATATGGTGGACCTTAGAAAATGTCATAATTCTGCCCGATTCTGGCGCCGGTGTTGGGGTCTCGGGTATTTCAAGCTGTGTCTGTGAAGTTTCCGAGATTTTGTGAACTTGGCTCAATCTCATCCTATGCTATTTTGGGGATGGTCTGCCAGGCCGGCGGCTTCTGGTCCTTGTTTTCCATGAGTTCTGTTTGCGGGTGTGGCGATGAGCAAAAGGGCGACAGAGAATGTCCACGCGTTTCTGCCCTTTTCAATGTTTTATTCACTCAAATCACCTAATACATGAATCTATAGGTTCTTAATCAAGAAAATGACAATCCTAATGCTGCGCATTGCAATAAACAATACAAAGCAAACAATTCTATGTTAACTTCTAAGCACTGCAAACACACTTAATCACGACGGACCTATTACAGACATTTCCTCTGTATGCTAAGCTTAAGTGCTAGATTTCAAAGTCTTAAGTCTTTGGTCTTAATTCCAGCAGATGCACACTCACTCAGACCCCAGCGATCAGATCAGTAACCAATAGAGGCTTGGGGTGATGTTGACGCCTTGGTGAGGAGATGGTTGTAAGGAGACTTCCTTTTCTCACCAGAGACAAGAAGCTGCTGTAGAGTTTGAGAGCGGTGAGGACAAAGAAGAGGTTCAGGCAGAAGTGAAGGGCTGCGATGTCAGTCCAGGTCCTCATCAGGCTCTCAGGCTTTGTGTGCATCAGTGTCGGCTGACTTGAATGTCTGTTCATTTGATTAATATAAATATAAAATTAGATTATTTAATTTAATATTTATATTAAATTTGGGGAGCTTCTGCTCATCCTTTGGGTCCCTATCAACTGTTACCAGCTTTCTTAGTGACATCTTTCATTCTTAGAGTTAGGACATGTGGTTTGGTGATTTCCTGACTCTTATCAGGGTTATAACAGATGACATGTGACTTCACCCTAACTCCTACCTGACTTGTGGAAAGTGACTTGCTTTTATCAGGCTATGCCTGGTTGACACATTGGAGGGCTCTGTGACTTGCCTGGTGAGATTGCAGGTTTGTTTTAAGATGTAATTGCTTAGGCCTAAAGCCATCCTTATAGGGGGGTCACTGTGAGAGGAGTGCTGGGATTTGGATATTCCAAATCTGGCCATTAAGTATGCCCTCAGACTGTGATACTGTGACTGATAGGCAAATAATTACTGACTTAAAAAAATGTTGGAAAGGAAAAGGTCTCATTTTAGTAGTTTGAAATACCTTTAGAAATAAAATTATTCACTATACTAAACAATAGACTTCTTTTAAAACAAAACAAAAACCTCTGTTCTCTTCTTTCTCTTTTGACCACCTCTAAATATGGTTATATCTCAATTGTTGGTTAAGTCAGTATGGAGTACATTAAATTTTTGTTTATCAAAAGTTTTATTTTTTTGTACCTGTTGCTACTTTCCAGAAATATTTGAAACACATAATAAATGTTCACGGATGATTTTTTTTCAATTGTTCAAACATTCAAGTAGTATTTCAATCCTTCATTCTGTGGCTCCAATTGTATTGTAACTTGAAATTTAGCTAGTTTTTTTTTTTAAAGTTCTTTTTCCAGTAAATTTCTTAAGATGCATGTTCTATACAAATAAGTTTTTTATGTTTCGTTCATAGCAAATGTCTTTATTCTACTATCCTACTTTGCCTGGATTTGAAATTTGGAGACATCACTTCATAGTTTTCCAGTAGTAGTGCAGTCAAGTCTAATGCTGTCTATACAGGTTCCAGCTCTGACAGTTTTTTACTTTTTTCTTCTTTCTTCCTCTTCCTCCCCTCTTTTTTTTCTTTTTCACAATCTTCTCTACTTTTGATTTTTTTTCTCTTAAGGGAATTTTTATTTAATGGGAGGACATTTTGTGAGTTTTGCCTCTAAATTTTTTTCTTCCTATTTTTTAAAAAATTTTATTTTTTAGCTTTAAGTAGACACAATATCTTTATTTTTATTTTTTATGTGGTGCTGAGGATCGTACCCAGTGCCTCACACATGCCAGGTGAGCGTGCTACTACTTGAGCCATATCCCCAGCCTCCCTGTTTTCTTTATACCTTTGCTCTAAGAATTTTGACTTTGTAAAAAAATGTTATTACTATATTCTAGCTTCATTATTTGATCATTTCTAATTTCCAAAAGCACTTCCATGTTCATTTCTCTTTTCTGTCCAAATCAAATTAAGAGAACAAAGTTAGCATCACTGACTTCCTAATGTGATGAACTAAAAAGGAAAAGAGAAGGAAAAAAAAGTTTATTCTCTACCTTTTATATTGGATATATATATATATTTTAAGCTGCTTAGGGCTTCACTAAGTTTCCGAGGCTGCCTTTAAACTTGCAATCCTCCTGCCTCAGCCTCCCAAGCCTCTGGGATTATAGGCATGTGCCATTGCACCCATACCCTTATATATTTTTAATGAATCACATCACTTTTGTCTTTCATGACATTGACATTATTGAAAAATACTGGCCATTTATTTTGTAAAATATCCTTAAATTTTGTTCATCTAATATTTCCTAATAGTAAGATGCATGTTGTGGTGCTTTGGCAAGTATATTATGTGCATAATGCTTTTTCCTTTTTAGTTCATCACATTAGGAAGTCAGTGATGCTAACTCCATTCTCTTAATTAAGGTGTTCTTGCAGCTTATCCACTGTTCAATTATCAAATTCCCCTTTATAGTAGTTCAGTGTTTTGTGGGAAGGTATTTTAAAATTATGTAAATATCCTTCCTCTTCAAACTCTTACCCACTAATTTAGCATCCCTGATGATGAGCCATTTAATGTCTACAATGGTTGTGTTGTGATTTTCTAATTACTTTTCTTATTATAGTTAATGGTTGACATTTTACTATAAGGAAGATCTTTCCTTTCTCAGCCATCATTTTATGTTATTCAATGAATTATAACCTGTCTACTTCATTTTGAAGCTTGGATTACCTAATAATTGGCCACTGGGAGCCTCTAAAGCTGGCTATTGTATCCTTTTGATAACCCCCTGATACTTTTTACTATTTCCATACATTGTGGGAAAAAAAAAAGTTTCAGGCTCACCTTGGACTTTTAGTTACCTAGCCTAAAGTGTGGAAAGTAAGACAGGGTACTAAAATAAAGTTAAAGAAATAGAAAGGAGCCATATTTCATCTACAGATCAGATGAAGGATTTTACAGTTAAGTGATATTAAACTATCATATTTTAAAAATCAAAATTGTTTATTAAAATGTATATTTTTAAAATTCAAAATTAAGAAATATGTTTACAATGTTTTGCACTTAAGCCTAAATGAGACATGCATTGTTGATATTTCAATGGAAGCAGAAGAAAACTATTTCATAAAGTGAAAGCATAAGTTAGAGGTAAAAACTGGATAAATAAATGGAAAAAAAATCTTGACAATGGAGACTGTGGGCTACAAGAAAGAAAGATGTTTTGTTATGGACACTGAGATAATAAAGAAATAATAGAATACAGCATATTTACTGTGGTACTTTGAGATAACTACTAAAAATTGCCTATGTAAACTAACAATATAGATGAAGGTAAGGTGTATCAAGGAAATTCCTACTGAGGCAAATGAGTTCGAACACAGGGACTTTGTGCATGCCAGGCAAGAATTCTACCAACTGAGCTATATCCCCAACCCGAGTCAGAATTTTTGAATAAAAAAGATTAGGATTCATCTTAGCATTATGTGAACCAAAATTAAAAGAATATATAAAAATGCTTGTAGTTAAGTGTATAATAACCAACTTCTTCTTTCCTCAGCCATCTATTTTCTCTCCTTAGAGAACAACACTGATTTAGATTTTTACATATCCAAAGATTTAATATTGACTATCAAAAACAATTTATGTGTTTCTATCCATATGGTGTCCTTCTAGAAACACTGGTACAAGTCTACTTTAAAACACTGTGCTATTAAAATAGTTTTATATATTATTAAAATAATTATATTTTCAGGGCAGACATAAAATTATTTTTGTAATTTAGAAACATAGTTAAATAAAAAGAGTTGAAGTTGATAGATGGGACAATGGCACTTTTTTTTTAACCTGTTCCCAATATATCTGGAGTTGACTTGATTCTTGTTTCTTAAGAACTTTCAAGCTGGGCATAGTGATGCACCCTTGTAATCCTAGTGACTTGGGAGGCTGAGGCAGGCGGATTGAAGTTTGAAACCATCCTAGGCAACTTAAGCATTAATCAACTTACTGAATTACAAAAAAAAAAAAAAAAAAGTACTGGGAATGTGCCTCAGTGGTTCAACCCCCAATAGGAAAAACCTAAAAAACTCATGTTCAGGTCTGGTGAGATCAGGGCTATTTATTTGACAAGTGCTTTTTTTTTTCCCACTATTTTCAACACTTTACTTCTCATATTTTATAATATATGTCTTCCATTCCAGGTAGTTTAATTTTTCTTTTTCTTTCTTTCTTTTTTTTTTTTTTTTTTTTTTTTTTGAGCTGGGGATTGAACCCACGCTTCCTGCATGCAAGGAAAGTGCTTCACTACTGAGCACTACATCCCAGACGTCAGTTTTTCTTTAGGTG